ATTATTAACTTATTTCTTTTAATATTTTTTCATTAAGTAATTTGGATGGAGAAAATCCAACTTTCTATCTAAGACACTTGAACCAACAATTTCTACAATGCCAATCACTTAATATGGTTCTTGTTTAGCCCCTTATTATTTGTAGCTATTCTTTTTCACTATTTTGCATAGCTCTAAGTGATCTTACTTACCTCGGTAGGCTTTTCACTCTTACATTGAATTCTAATTTAGCTGTCTGTTTAGTTTAAAAATGGTGTGCATTCTTTTGCTTTTATCTATCCATCACTTTATTGTAATACTCACGCTTTCACAATTTCGATTAAATCTATATTTCGCATTGCTAGACGATTGCCCCTTGTTAATAAGCTGGTAAAGTGTATCCAATTCGATTTGTTTATTGTTTGTTTTTATCTTAGCTCCATAGTTCCTTCCTTTTCTTTTCTTCATAAATTTCAGGTATGATCAGGATCACTCAACTTTGCCATACTGGCGACAAGTATCCAGCTCAAATTTGCGCTCTGGCATTCATCTTATGCCACCTTGCGATGCAATACCACTCGATTCTTCTACAGCTTTTCCTTCCCGCCCCAGAAGTCTGCCACCTCTGTCATTGCCACGAATTGACTCTAACATTTCTGACAGCTTTTCAATGGGTCTAGTTGACTGGCTCGCGTGCAATGCTGGCACTCGACCGATTGAAAAATGGATTAATCCTGCCAGCATCGGTCTAATCTCGGTCGCATCCTCGGTTAAGCCTAGTAGCAATGGAAGCAGCTTTTCCGCTGGCCGTCTTCTTGGTCGGTCGTTGGATCTGCTAGCGCCGAAGGCGGGCTGTATTGTTCCAGGAGTAGCTAGGTGCCAGACTGGCATTTTTGGTGCGGCTATCTGCCCAGTTGAGATTCCAGAACCCTCCCCAGTTTCAGGAACTGATGATCTGGTCTTAAAAGAGATTCCTGCGGAACCCCGCATCATTCGCTACCCTGTGTGGTTTGCTTTCGATCTTGGCCTCCAGCTCGTTCCCACTGCTTATACTTTGACCTCTCCGAGAGATTCCTTGCCAGGAATCGAATATTCAGTGGCGCCGCGTAACTGGTGTATTCAGGTATGATTGTAACTCGGACTTTAGTCGGATTAGAACTTGAAGAATTGTCTTTTGGATGGTTAAGTTTTCATTTTTTTATGGGTTTTTTTCAACCATTTTATGCTTTTTATTTAATGCAGATTCTATTTTTGTCATATTTTCTATATCTCATTATCATCCTCTGTCCACTACCCCCACAGTTACTGGTCACTTGATAAATTTGTTCGTTTTTTTAATCTTATTTCTGCTTCTGTGCCTAGTTCAAGTCACTACATTTATTAAAGATATTGCTACTCTTGCTATTAGCTTGCTTATGTATCTGGCATTCCTTTATTGATAAGGAATTCCATAATTTTTTGATCTCTGCAAAAATGTATAATCGAAGAATATTTTCAGTTGTTTAATAGCTGCCCTTCTATCTGCTTCAGTTGCATCATGCATCCTAAATCTCTTTCATTTATTTGTCAGTCGCTTATTAAATCTTCGCAAATTGTTTCCGTAATTTCCTTAGTTAAAATCATATTTATGCATTCCCGTTAAATTTGCCACTGCGCACGTAGCCCTTCTGGGCGCAAACATTTCGGGATCTAGTCGCTAAGATTCTCTCCAAATATAACACTAATGAGATGTTTGTCCATATCCCGACAATTTTATTAGCACTTTAAGCTATGTCCTTGGAATATATCGCCTTGTGTTAAGTGCTCTATTTTTAAACCCGATTTAGGTCTCGAATGACGCTCGTACTTGGCAAACACTGCGTACTCATTTGAACGACACCACTTTGAATGGGTCTATTGGGGACCAGGCCACATGGCGCCTACCTTCAGTTCCTTTGCCTCTTTCGCGTCGTAAACCAGCCGTAACATCTGCATCTTGTCTTCCTCCAAGTCGAGATCCTGCTTGTGCTCAAAACCAGCACCAAAATATGCCAAGTACTGCAATACTATCTGAATGCACGGTTACTGTGGAGTCAGGCATGCCATTATCTCTTCAGCAGAGCATTATTGAACCAGAAGCACCAATGGCTATTTCTCGCGCCAAAACTGCTTCAGCAACTTCAGCTGTACAGGCATCTGTTCCTATTTTTGCTGTCGTCTCTGAATGCGACGCTCTCGGTTGCAATTCTTCGCCAGAAGCTCCAACCCACATACCAGCACAGTACTCGAATGAAAAGGATGCCTCCGGCACGTTTCAAAATGTCACCGAACTGTCTCAGGCTGCTTGGGAAACGATTAAGACTTCAATCAGTGCAACCACAAAGCCAGAATTCGAAAGGCACCTAACTGATTCATTACCTTCAGCTTCTGCATCTTTTCCATGTGATCAGGTTGGTTTCATCTTAACTTGTTATCAATTCTACATCACCTAATCTTTGAATAGAATTTTACTCTTTTGTGTCATGACTCGATTATACTTTCAGACTAATTTCTGAAGGCACATCTATTGTTGCGATTTTAATATTCTCCTGGTTGCAGATTTTATTTTTATTTCATTAAAAAGTTTACGAGAGAAACATTTATGCGTTGATTTCATTAGAAGACGATTATGGTTTCATCTTGATCTGCCACTTCGTTTTCCTGACTGATTCAAATTGGTGCGGTCCTCGAAAATGCAAAAGGAAAGCCAAGCAGTAGCCCAAAAGTAAACCGCCATCGTTTTCGACCCACAATTGTTTTTATTATACTATTTAAAATAAGATAAAAGTTAAATCAATGCTTTTCTCAATATATTCCTCAGATATATGCTTTTTCTAATAGGGTTGTTGCTAAGTCTGATTTAATAAAAATTCGAAATACAAACTATTTTATCAAGAAAACTTTGTAAACTCAGAAAAATACATTAATAAGTTTACTATGTGAATCTGTAGCATTACTTGGAACTCATTCTATTTTGCTTTTTCGATTGGTGGATAACAGAGATATTCGAGTATATTATTTATATAGTTTGAGAAGGATGTAGAACTTGGGAAG